ATACCACATCTAATACTAGCATACTTCATAGCTCATACCAACTATCATGCCAATTAATACCATTACAGTTAGGGTACTACATATCATGAAATAGGCCGACCTTGGTGCATTAAATCCAGTGTTATAGTTAGGGGACTCACCTCTATCTGCTGAATGCGAAAGCTGCTCTCCAAACAGTCCGTAACCTCTTATGCTGAATAATAATATTAATCAATGCTAGGAATTTACTTAATCAAAGGAAAACCCAAACCCCAAGTCATTCTAAAAAGGCCCAAAAATCCTTTCTTTGTTAATGGGCCCAAAGTGCATGTCCATAATCATTAATGGGCCTATTGGCCCAATAAGGCCTTACCATAACACCAATGTCCCAAAACATATGAAATGGCCCACTATTCTCAAAATGCTACAATTCCAATAACCAAATAGGGCCTAACAGTTTAAAGGCCCACAACAGATGCATGCTCATCTGATACGTACGCTTAGCGTACCATCCTGGTACACGAAGCGTATTGGGGTTTTGGGACTTACGCACGACGTACATTGGGTTACGCCCAACGTACTAACAGATTAAGCACTTTTCACCATTAAGTGCTTAATACTTGATTCCTTTACGTCCAAATGTCAGATCTAAGCTTATTAAGACGACCTAAGGCATAAAGTTGGCAACTTTATGCCTTTGCATTCTCCATATGCTCTCAACACCCTCATTAAGACCTTTTTAAAGCTCTTAACTCATGCATGATGTCAAAACACCCACCAAGACTCCATTTTTATGTTGAAAAAGGACAAAGGGACCTCAGATATGTCATTTCCATCCAATGGAGTTGCTTAACTCACAAGTGGAGATCCAAAATCAACCAAGTGGAAAGATGCAATCATTATACCTCTAGAAGCTCCTCAAGGTCAAATATATTCAGATTCTTGAAGTCCAAGGCTACGCCAAGCTTATTTGCCAACCTCTTCTTCTTGAATGAACACTATAAGGGCCATAAATGCACTCTTAAAGCTCAAAATGCACTCACAAATGATATTAGGGTTTCCAGAGACGTTTGAAGGTGAAAGGGGCTGATGAGGGTGAGGCTCAAATGAGTTAAGGGTGTTTATATAGGTCTCATGTCCGAAAATTAGGGATCCCCCGATCTAGGCGCCTTGACGTCCCCAAGTACAGGGGTTCTGACCCAGAAAGTTGGATCTTTGCCATTAATGAGTATTTTACTCTTCATGTGACCACAAACGAACAACGCCTATGCATCATTGGCTTTAATTTAGAAGGTGACGCATCCGAGTGGTTCCGATGGATGACTCATAACAACCTCATCACAACATGGGATGAATTCATCGAAAGTGTACGAAATTGCTTTGGACCGTCAAAGTATGAAGACCCACAAGGAGCACTTTCCAAGCTCCTTCAAACCGAAACAGTAGCGCACTATCAGGGAGAATTTGAAAAACTTATGAATCGAGTCACTGATGTTTCTGAAACCCTACTCATCTCGTTTTACATATCGGGCCTGAAGCCTGCTATCCAACGAGAATTATTGATATCCAGTGTGCCCTCTAACACAAATAGGGCCAAACAGTAGGTCTCACATGCATAATCCATTTCAATAAAAGGCGAACCGACCCGACAAGCATTGTTACCGTCCCCATCCTCAAAACCAATTGGAAGTACACCTAAACCACTTCCGATTAAGTGGATTTCAGCTGTTGAAAGACAAGAACATATGATCTTAGGGCGATGCTTCAATTGTGATAACAAGTGGGCAAAGGGGCATAAATGTCCTGGGAAATTTATGTTGATGATGTCGTCAGAAGAAGATCATTTGGATACGAGGCAGAAGAACACAATGACGGCTCTAGATGACTCAATTGAGACCGGTGACATTTAATGTTTAAACTCATTGGTTGGACATGGTAGCCCCCGTTCCCTTCAATTATGGGGCACGATTTCATCCACTGAGGTACATGTATTGATTGATAATGGCAGCACCCATAATTTTGTACAACCCTCATTGATTGAGCGACTGAAATTACTGATTACACCCACCAAACCATTTAAAGTGTACATTGGTAGTGGGGAAATTTTGTTTTGTGATGACGTGTGTGCCCAGGTCAATCTCAAGCTGCAAGGATTGATTGTTAATGTTGATTTATTTGTTCTCCATATGCAAGGAGCTGAGGTGGTATTGGGAATCCAGTGGCTACAGAAATTGGGCAAAGTGGCCCATGATTATGCTCACCAGACTATGGAATTGTCGGTCAACAACAAGAAGCATGTATTAATAGGTGATGATGCATTACGGTTTAAGAAAATTGGGTTTCATTAGATGCAAGCCTTGTTCGGAACTGATGACATCTATGGTGTTTACGAGATCCACAAACTACTACCTGACCAAGCAAAAGGTGATTCCACTACCTCTGAGACAACCACACTGATTCCCCTGGAAATCGAGGAACTTTTGGTACGGTATCAATCACTTTTCACGGAACTGACTAGCCTACCACCTCATCGAGTAATTGATCACCGAATTCATTTATTTCCAAATACCAAGCCTGTTAATGTTTGTCCCTACCACTACCCTCATTATCAAAAAGGGGAAATGGAGAAGTTAGTCAAGGAGATGTTAGACCAAGGCATTATTCGCTTTAGTCATAGCCCTTTTTTGTCCCCAATTTTGTTGGTTAAAAAAAGATGGCAATTACCGTTTTTGTGTTGACTATTGAGCATTAAATGTTGTGAAGGTTAAAGACAAGTTACCCATACCTACAACTGATGAGATGTTTGATAAATTCGGTGGAGCAACGGTGTTTACTGAACTCGATTTGCAAGTCGGATACCACCAGATCCGTGTTCATGACAGGGATATCTACAAACAGCATTCCGAACACATGATGGACATTACGAGTTTCTCGTGATACCATTTGGGCTTACAAACGCACCCTCCACCTTTCAAGCCACCATGAATCATATTTTTTCTCCTTATTTGTGCAAGTTCGTTATAGTTTTTTTATGACATATTAGTTTATAACTCAACTCTCACAGCTCATGTTGAGCACTTGCAGTGTACATTCAACTGTTTACAGGAATATCAATTTTATGTGAAAAGATCCAAATGTGTTTTTGGGGCCGCCTTGCTTGAGTATCTCAAGCATATTATTTTGTGTCAAGGAGTGGAAATGGACCCTAAGAAGGTGGAAGCTTTCACGGCATGGCCGGTTCCTAAAACTCAAAAACAAGTGTGAAGTTTTTTAGGACTCGCGGGTTACTACCGGCGTTTCATTCAAGGGTATGCATCCATAGCTGCTCCTTTGTCTGAGTTGCTCCAAAAAGATGGTTTTCGATGGGGGGAACGTGAGCAAAAGGCTTTCGAAGACTTGAAACACCAGTTGTCTGTAGCACCAATCCTTAGCTTGCCAGATTTTGAGGAGGTTTTTGTTGTCGAGACTGATGCATCTGGTGATGGTATTGGAGTTGTCCTATTCCAAAAGGGCCGCCCTATTTTTTTTTAGTCGAAAATTGGGTGCGCGAATGAAGTGGGCAGCTACTTATTAACAAGAGTTGTATGCCATTGTCGAACTGGTATACAAGTGACGACAATATTTAATTGGGTGCCTGTTCTTACTACGTACCGACCATAAGAGTATTAAGGAATTGATGCAACAGGTAATTCAAACGCCGGTTCAACAACAATATGTCTGCAAATTAATGGGGTTCAATTTCGATATTGAATACAAACAAGGCATCACTAACATTGTAGTTGATGCTTTGTCTCGCAAGCATAGCGAGGATGATCCTGAGACAACAACATTCATGTCCTTTAGCTGACCTATTAGTGGGTTGTTGGAAAATCTTAAGGACGAACACCGTAGTCTTGAGGAGGTTTCGGCTTTAATTAGACGACCGCAACACGTAGAAGTTATAGAGGGGTTTCGAGTTCAAGACGGGTTGCTCCTTTTTCAGGACCGTTACTATATTGGTCTCCAATCCAAGCTTAAACTTCCACTACTCAAGGAGTTCCATGAGACAAAGAATGCTGGTCACTGTGGTACTAAGAAGATGATGGTAGGGTTATCCACTATGTTCTATTGGAAGGGAATGAGGAAGATGGTGGAGGATTTTGTGAAAAGTTGTTTAGTCAGTCAACAGACAAAGTATTCCACTCAGGCTCCTGGTGGATTACTTCCGCCCTTGCCGATTCCTGAGGCGGTGTGGGAGGATGTATCTATGGATTTTATCATTGGGTTGCCCATGTCAAAGGGGATCACGGTGATTTTTGTGGTGGTCGGTAGGCTCACTAAGTATGTCCATTTTGGTGTACTACCCACTCGTTATAATGCCCATCGCGTGGCTGAGTTGTTAATGGATATTGTTGTCAAACATCATGGGTTTCCAAAGACGGTGGTGTCAGATCGGGATGCCATCTTTGTTAGTCAATTATGGAGTAGTTTGTTCAAACTAAGCGGTGCTCAATTGAAATATAGTACCACCTACCATCTGCAAACGGATGGGCAAACAAAGGTGGTTAATCGAGGACTGGAGCAGTATTTGCGAGCAATGGTATTGGAGCAACCGCAACAGTGGTCTACATACTTGGGCTGGGCTGAATTTTGTTATAATTCTAGCTATCATAGTAACATCTGCATGTCACCGTATTAAGCTTTATATGGAAAATTACCTCCTTCTCTTATTCCCTATCCACCTGGAAAGTCTAAATTGGCAGCCATCGATGATATGTTGCGGGAACGAGACTTGTTGATTCGTCAGCTCAAAGAAAATTTGGCAGTTGCCAAAAATCGAATGGAGACCAATGCTAATCAGAAAAGGCGTGAGGTTGAATTCTCAGTGGGAGATAAGGTGTTGGTCAGGCTGCGTCCTTACCGACAGATTTCAGTTGCTAATCGGCTCTCTAATAAGTTGTCCAAGCGTTTTTATGGTCTTTTTGAGGTGGGCGAACGCATTGGTAAGGTGGCGTATCTGTTACATTTACCTGGAGGAGTTCATGCCTTGCTGGTTGACTTTGAGAAGGGTAGTCCTGTCGAACGACCATTGTCCATCTATGGGGTTCGAAGCGTGTTATCTCGGGGAAAGCCGACTACTCAGGTTTTGGTACAGTGGACTAATAGCTCACCGAAGAATGCAACTTGGGAAGGCCTGCGTGAGTAGGACAAGGTGCTCTTTGAAGAAGAAGGGAATGTTACATGGCCAACAGTGGAAGGGCCAAGACGTTCGGGAAGAGTATCTGTTGTTCCAACATGGCATCAAGATTACGTGGTGGATAAAGTCTAGCGACTTTGGTTGCAGATCAAATTGGTTGGGATTTAAAGTAGTATTTAGTTTGTTTGGTTTTATTTGGAGATTAGCATTACGTTCGTATTAATAGGCTTTGTTTTAGGATTTGATAAACTTAATTTAAAAGTATTTAAGTGTGAATGAAATCACCAATCAACAGATTGGGTTTATCTATTCTTCTTCTCTTCTATTACTGGAGTTAGTGTTCACTCGAAGAACACAGGAGGGTACCTAGTTGATTGTATCGGGGGGGGGGGGGGGGGGGATGGAATATGTATAAAAATTGAAGAACGGGGGTGATAAAGTCAAAAAATTTAGGTTTAGGCCTAATATATAAAAAGTTTAAGTTATGAGAAAAAAAACAGGTGGGCCACAACCCCTCCTGGCCTAATAGAAGCTCCACCCCGATAATATTGAACCAAGTAATATCCATGATAAACAATTACAAACTTTGTTTTTGTTTCATTTTATATAGCCGTTCGAATTTTATAATGTCGTTCGAATTTTAAAATTTCATCCGATTATCGAATTTTATAATAATAATAATAATAATAATAATAATAAATAAATAAATAAATCAATAAGATTGGTAGAATTGGAAGAGAAATGGATACTTCATTGGCCTTTATATATACTCTTGAGGATGAAACTAGAGGAAGAGAGAGCTTATGCCATTGAGAAACATTCCACACAAATATCCTTCGATGTTGTAAATACTTTTTTTTTCTTCTTCTCCATCACCATCGTAACTCGAAATATATTTCCGAAATTACTCATAAATCTCACATTTACCAAGGTATGTGCCGTTAATGCGTATATGTTTTATATTGTTTATGAATCGAGGGTTTAGTGTGTGCTTATGTGTGTATGTGTTTTTGTAGAAACTAAAATGTCGCTTCAAGACCTCCAAAACGTTACCAACAGCTACGATCACACGTCCTCTCATGAAGATTTCCTAGAGCAAATGCTTTGTGGTCTCCAGTCAGGAGTTTCTTGGCCGGAAATATCCACCGGAACTGGCGGCGGAGGCGGTGCCGGTCAGAACAAACCAGTATTTCCATGGGACGTGGACCACTTTGATGACCAATCATCTTTTCTAGCATCAAAACTCCGGCAACATCAGATCAGCGCCGGAACCGGTGGAGCAGGTAATCCATCTTCTGCTGTGAAATCGCTGCTTCTTCAACAGCAGTTATTGCTTTCTCGAGGCTTAACCGGCGCCGGTGATTCTGGGCTTTTTGAAAATGATATCATTGATGCTTCATCGTTCAAATCTCCGGTAACTGTTTTCCGGAGATTTATTGTAAATTAATATATTATTCTCCGATTTTTATGATGAATAATTGAATTATGTATAGAGTGGAGATAATTCGATTCAAACTCTCTTTAATGGGTTTGCCGGATCTCTCCAATCCAATCAAACCCAGGACTTCCATTTCCCGCCGGTGAGTGTTCGTGTATGTGTATTTTCCGTTTTACTTTATCTTTTCATGACATGATATGTCCATAATCACCAACGCAGGCCCAGAGCTTCGGCTCTCAGGGGACGACAGCAGCCTTGACTAACCAAGGACCAACGTCCGGCGGTGTAACTGCAGCAGGAGGTGGCGGCAGTGGACCACCGACGCAGCCACGACAAAGAGTTAGAGCTAGAAGAGGACAAGCTACCGACCCACACAGCATAGCCGAAAGAGTAAAAAAAAAAACAAATCATGAAACACCCATTAATAGCCCTCTCTTTTTTTCTCGTACTTCCATTTTGTATATCTTATTTTGATCGGAAATTATGGCAGTTACGGCGAGAGAGGATTGCAGAAAGGATGAAATCGTTACAAGAACTTGTCCCAAATGCTAACAAGGTATGACTATCAAACGTACTATCAGTATCTTATTAATTTTGTATTTACCGGCGACCGGTAATGGGCGGTAGCCGGCGGTGAGTAACAGTTGCAGTACACTCACACGTACTACATACGAAGGAATGATTATTAACCAATAAGAGATCGCGTGATAAGTGCGCGTGTGGAATTTCTAAAATATGATTTCGTGTGTACTTGAAATTGAAGGTGGAAGGCAGAAAATCCGGGAGTAGGTTCCGAATCATAGTCGGATTTGGGGTCGGGGTTGGTTTTGTCGCCAATTACCATTATAACCCTAAAATCATCGATTCTGTATTATAGTGTTTCGTTTATAAATAAATAATTTCACGAACAGGTATATAGTGGAAACATTATATTGATAATTTAACACATAAAGTCAAAGTCGTCTTATTTTTTTTTCTTTCTTTAAATATGAGTTTTCTTAAAATTCTCTGATGCAAAAAAGACATCTTTTATTTTGCGTGAAAATTTTTAACTTTTTATTTTACCGTTTGGTATTGTTATTATGTGTATCATTTACTTAAATGTAAGTTTTTTTATTTTATTTATTTATTTATTAACTTAAATGTAAGTGTTAGGTTTTGAACTCAATAAGATCTTCGTTAGCAATGTAGAACTTAATAAATAATTGAAGTCAAAAGCAATATAATTATGAATATATGTTATTATTATCTCTAATAACTATTTTTTTATTGATGGATATTTTGTTAATATGGGTTGTGGAATGACAGACAGACAAGGCTTCAATGCTAGATGAGATCATAGACTATGTAAAATTCCTCCAGCTCCAAGTCAAAGTATTCTCTCTCTCTCTCTCTCTATATATATATATATATATATATATATATATATATATATATATATATATATATATTTACTATCTTATAAAAGAAATCTAACTATTTCTATAAATAGATTGATTATAATAATAATATTTTTTAAGACGTCCAAATGATGAAGCTGATAGTACAAGTAACCATTAATAAAATAATATTAAATTTTAACCAAATTTTGAATTCAAATATTTATCATCAAATATCCTTATATTTCTCAGCAATTTGATATGGTTCCCTCAAATCCCGTATTCATTTAAATTTTGAACCCTTTTAGATATCCTTAAATTTAGCATGTTGATTCAAATATCCCTCCAATCGTATATACCTCTTTGTTCCCTCCTCTGTTATAAAGTCTACCGTCCAGGAACAAAAAATGACTTCATCTCCCAAATAACACCATAGTTTGATTATTTTGTCTTCGACATGTACTTTCTTTTGTAACATAACATTTTTATAGAGGAAACATATCATCGAAAGAATTTACATGCCCCGCCGCTTTGCGCGGGTACACTGCTAGTATATATATATATATATATATATATATATATATATATATATATATATATATATATATATATATATATATATATATATATATATATATATATATATATATATATATATACACACACACTAAATCCATACTAATTAATTAAGCATTTTGGATTAGGTACTAAGCATGAGTAGATTGGGAGGTCCTGCTGCTGCTGCCCCTCTTGTAGCTGACATCTCCACAGAGGTTATATCTTTAAATTTTAACACTTTTATCATAATTTTAAAAATTATTTAATGAGTAATGATCTAAGATAAGATGCTCTAAGATACTTTAATTTGTCATATATAGCTCATTAGTCTTCTTTTTAGTAAATTATATACGATTTCACTTATATATACCGATCGATGTAGACAAAAATGTCAAGTAATTAAGTGACAGAGGTCTACAATAAGTAAGTAGATGTTTACGTTTAGTAAAAATAAATATTAAAATATTAATACAAGCTGTGTATTGATTAATTAATACGAGGGTATGAATAGAAAATGTATGTATCTTGTATATTGTGTATCCTATATAAACTTATTTCATTAACTAAAACTCATAGTGTTCGCATCACTAGGTATACATAAATGCCTCCTCTAGTCCTCAACAATATTTTACCATCTAAATTGATAAGCAAGTTAACCAAACACGGTAAGTAGAACATTTTTTGAATAATGATTATGCATACGAAAAAGGTTAATAATACAACTGAAACTAATCAAAAGATATATTATTATATTACGTACTTTATGTAATTATCAACTTCAAGTGGAAAAAGACTACGTAAACTTTTTACCATTATAACACTACTTGATCAAATAGGCAAAAGAGCATATAAATTTTATTTTTCTTCACTTTTAGGGTTTATAATAATATTTTAGGGGTAGGTTTGCGTTGATTTTGTTGTATCTAGGGTTTGATTTTAAACTGCTATAAATAGAAAGCCAAAGACAAGAATCGTCCTTAAAAAACCAATCCTTATCAAACCCCACCCTTTTCTCCATACCAAATAAACGACACACAGAAAGAAGCCAGCACGCGTGCTTACTTTCCCAGTTCCACCACCGCCCCCTACCCCACACCACCCCACCCTCTTCTGCGAAATTACATTTATATCCCCATGCAAAACGTTGACGTGTATTTTTATGCTTTTACAGGGAGGTCGTGACGCTTTAGAAGGAGGTGGTGGTGCTGCTGCGGGACGAAGCAACAATGGAACATCGTCTTCAAACAATGACACAATGACGGTGGCGGAGAATCAGGTGGTGAAGCTGATGATGGAGGAGGATATGGGGTCAGCCATGCAGTACCTACAAGGGAAAGGTCTTTGTCTCATGCCGATTTCTCTAGCAACGGCTATCTCCACCGCCACCTGCCACCCTTCTTCCTCAAGGAACAACCACCAGTTACTTGGTGGTGGGCCTTCATCTCCCAATGTGTCTGTGCTGACCGCTCAATCCGCGAATGGAATACTGCCACCAGAGGTGTCTCCATCAAAGAATCCACCTCCATCTTGAAGCCATGATATTCACCGGCGTTAACTTTTGATGACAACCCAGTCAACTTTGGAAAAAAAACATGACTTCGGCGACCGTGTGTCAACTCTCTACCAAACTTGTGTTTTGTGGGGTCTTTTGAATTTACGCGTAATCATTTTCTAAGTGCATTTGAGACATTGTTTTGGACAGACATTGAGCTAGATCTTTAATTAATTGATTAATGATAATTTAAAAGCCAAAAAAATACAATTACATATATCAAGATAGTAAGTGATGGCAATAGCTACACCTAATTTTACTTACTGTTCTACTAGCTATTATTTAGGGCAATGTATCATTTAGGGCAATGTATCATTTCGCAAATAGTATAGCACAAAAGTTGGATATGATCTAAGTAAAAAGGGTTTTTACTTAGATTAAAAAGGATAGTATAGCACAAAAGTTGGATATGATAAATTATTTAACATACTCACTATTAAATTAACTTAAAGTTCTAAGTAAAAAGTAAAAGGGTTTTTATTTAATTTTACAAGTTTAAACAAATTTAAATTTTCAGCAAATATTCAGTCAAACATTAAAGAAACATTTTTGCTAGTTCGAATCCGTTATCCCTCAATGATCTAGCTATTAAGTATGATAATTATCGTTGGTTACTAATTAAAGTATTATTAGCAATTGAAGTCCAAATTTACTAATACTGAATTAATTCATGTAGACCTATGCATGGTCATACATAATAAAACAAATAATCAATTATTAAATAAAATTGGAGCTATGTATGATTGAGTTAATAAACACAATTATGGTCACAATATGTGTTCTCCAGCACAGCTAAATTCAATACTTTAATTACTTATATAAAATTGGTTCGATCTTAACTCTAATAATTTAATGGTCACTAAATTACTAGCGTAACGATGTAAATTTTCAAACCAAATTCTTTCCATTTTCCAAACACATCAATTTCTCCAAAAACTACAAGTTCAAATATAAATACATTTTTAAAAAATCGTTTATCATGACTCCAGGATCCAAATTAAATATAACTCCAGCTTAGATGTGAGTGTACAATCAAGCCGGTGCCTTTCGACGATCCTCTGAAGTACCTGAAATACATAACACATAACACGGTAAGCATGAAACTTAGTGAGTTCTCCAAAATACCACATACAACACATTAGCCACTCGAGGCTATAACTTCGTAAGACCCTCCGGTTTAAGTGTTTGAGTGGGACCCTCCAGTCTCATAGCTCGTTGGACCCTCTGGTCCGGTCTCAGTGAGGACCCTCTGGTCTTACAGCTCGTTGGACCCTCCGGTCCGGTCTCACTAACACATAATATAGCATACATATCACATAAGCAAATACATAACTCAAATAAGCACATACGACCCTCTGGTCACACATAAATATCACTCTAGGTAAAGTATAGTGAGAAGACTCACCTCGAAAGCTAGCAAATAAAAATCTCGTACTTGGAATCCTTGACCTAGCCTCCGCCTATCACATAGAAATAATTATCTCTATTTAACATTCTACTCACACTGAAATACACTAGGAGTTGATCCCTTATTCACTCTAGCCCTGGGAATGGGTAAAAGACCATTTTACCCCTCCTGATCTCCATTACTCCATTTGACCAAAACTTAAAGTCAACAAAAGTCAAACAGCCCGAGTTAACCTGACTCGCCGACTCAGCGAGTCCATTCAAACTCAAAAGCATTTAGACGATTTCAAGGTAGAAAACTCCATCACACTCTATATCTAATCTCTCAAGGCTTGAATATCACATCAAGCCACAAGCTTTATGTTCATACATGACACTTAAGGGCTAGAAATGCCAAGAACATGTTTGAGAAGAAGTTTCTCATTCAAGAAACTAACATGGCTGAATAAAGCAGGGGACTTTTGACATAAGGGACCACACAAGGTCTAGATCTAATGTCCAACTCTAAAAAGGTGCCCAAAACCCTCAAAGTCCCAAAATAAAATCAAGATTGAAACCCTAACTAAAAAATCATGAGATCTACTCAGACTAGTGGAAAAGATATGAACTTTATACCTTAAACAACAACTCCTTGATGATTAACAGTAGATCTACCAGCCTCTTCACACTCGTTGCTTGAAATCCTCATATTTTCTACCAAAAAATGCACCAAAGTTCTCAAACAATTGCTCACTACTCTCTCACAAGCTTAAGGGGGCGATTAGGGTTTCACTCAGCAGATTAAGAGCTGCAAATAAGGCTATAAGTGTCCTTATATAGGCCCCAAACCCGAGGATTTAGGGTTTCCACTCACACCGCCTACTCGACGAGTCAACCCTCGGACTCGTCGAGTAGATCATTAAACCCACATGGCCATACATGCCTCTACTTGGCGAGTTGTAGCACCAACTCGTTGAGTAGATCAATAAACTTAAAAAATAAATAAATAAACTAATGTACCTGGAAATCTAGATGTTACAATTCTCCCCCACTAGAATCAGACTTCGCCCTTGAATTCAGGCTCCGCAAATTATTATGGATAATGCTCCCGCATCTCTGACTCTAGCTCCTAAGTCAAATCGGACCACCTCCGATGTTGCCACTTGACTTGAACTAGGGGCACTTCCTTGTTCCTCAGAACCTTCACCTTTCGATCCGAAATCGTTGTCGGCCTTTCAATATAATTTAAGCTCACATCAACTTGAATGTCCTCTAGTGGAACCACTATCGTTTCATCGGCTACATACTTCCTCAACCAGGACACATGGAAGGTGTTATGGTTTTGACTCAACTTTGCAGGTAGCTCCAACTGGTATGCTACTCTACCTACTCTGGCTGTCACTCTAAAAGGACTGATGTATCGGGATCCCAGCTTACACCGCTTCCTGAATTGGATCACCCCTTTCCATGGGGATACATTCAGGAGTACAAAATCTACGACCTGAAACTCTAACTAGGATCGCCGCCTGTCCAAACTCTTCTGACGACTTTGTGCCGTCAGTAACCTCTACCTGACCTGTTGAATCTGGTCAGTCGTTTTCAGCACTATCTTTGTGCCACCTATTACTCTCTGACCCACCTCTCCCCAACAAATGGGGGTCCGACACCTCCTCCCATACAGAAGCTCAAAGAGAGGCATACCAATACTCGAATAATAGTTGTTGTTGTAAGAGAACTCAGCTAGTGGTATGTAGGTGTCCCAGCTTCCTCCGAAGTCCATGACACA